AAAACGAAAAAAATAATAACGATAGCAATAATAAAAAATAATATTGCAATTACTTCGATATAATTAATAATTCAGTTAAACTGCAAGTTCTAATCATCAACGTCCTTGTTGATTCCGTGTAATAGACCTGGATGTCGTGCGATCCAAATTGTTTATTAACCAGAGTATTGTTACAATAATGATATGGTTCCACAAAACTCACTGATTCTCGTTGGGGTATAAATAGTTCTGCATGCAGTACTGCGTTCATTTGCCATAAAAAAATTCATACCAAAAACATTGAAAATCATTGAACAAGAATTAATTATGAATTCCGTAATGTGTGGATTATTAAATATCAGTTTGATTCTTCTAATCTGCGGAATTCCAGTCTCGCAAGGTATTCACTCGATAGTTATTAAACATTTTTTTGGTCGTAATCATTTTCCGGAGATATCATTTTGGGAAGTGATTCGTGTCATCAACAAAATTCTTTCAATTATTCAATTGAATTTTCTGAAACCTACACTGGATTCCCCAATTCGTTTAACTCCGGCATAAAATTTGTAATCGTGAATTTAATTGAACATTACACATGCTAGGATTTTCGTATGATAAAACTGGAGAATGGGGCAACGAGAGTCCCATCTGCAATGGTAAATCGCAATCACCAATTAATATCGATTTTAATGACAAAAACGCATTGAAACAAGATATGGTTTCGCTCCAGTGGAATGGATATGAAAACATTCCTGATGTGATGATCGGAGCTAATAACGGACACACAAGTAAATAACATCCATAATATGAAAATAAAACTGGAGAAAAATCACTTGGAATTTTTCATTATGTTTTGACATTTCTAGTCAAAGTCATTCCCAAGTGGTTAGATACAGCGAAAAGACCTTATTTATCTGGTGGACCACTTGATAGTCAATATGTTCTCCAAGAATTTCATTTCCACTGGGGAGCGGATAACAGTGTCGGAAGTGAACACACAGTAAACGGAAAAAGGTAAAATATTTCTCGCTGTTTTTTCTGTGAAAGGGTACATTATTGTCTGATAGTATGATTTCTAATCTGAATTCTGACCTGACAATTTAAGTTTTGTCCTTGAACTTCACATGGTGCATTGGAAACTTGATTACGGCTCCTTCTCAGCAGCTGTTGCAGCACCAGACGGACTGGCAGTAGTCGGATCTTTTTATGACGTAAGTTAGGAATATGAATAATTTAAAATCCTTGCTAATTCATTGGATAGACATTTATTGAATATTGAATATTGGATAAATTACAATGTGACAATGGAAATTGTCCAATTAATTCATAAAAATTCCAGGTCAACAATACGGTTAGCAAACCGTCAAGCGGTGTCAACAATATTATTAAT